AGAGCCCACGAAATAATGTAAAAGTTAATTTTCCTTAAAAGCTTCCATACAATTTTAATGCGCACAGATTTACATTCTTCAATGTCTGCTTAAAATATGTAAATTTTACTCGCTCATTTTACGAAAACAATATAGATTGTAAAATAGTGATTATGTCCCTGTCAAAATTATATAATATTTGAATTTTTGGCGTCCTGGAAAACTCACACCACCTTTATATTAAAAAACGAGGATTAAAACCAGTACTTGATTTAAAGTTTAAACCATTGACCGCCTATATATCCAACATTGATTAATATTTCGATACATAACTTATTTGAATGCCGAATATGAAAAAAATGTAATCGAACTGTCTCTGTGCGAACGGATAAATCCATTTTATATTTTCCGCTACATACCTGTATTGACTGGTTTCCCATAACCGCAGACCATGATTACGATATGATAGTCTGTGCGCTTGGTGTATGTTATTTATTTGCGGTCCTTATGCATTAATAGTAGTAGAGATATTTATAAATAACATTGGCGATTTGTGTTCGTTGTTATTCTCTTACAATATTATTAATAAACATTACTTAGCATTGGAGTAAATTAACGCTGAGACTGCACTTAGTATAAGTCAAAATTATATTATTATAAACAATGAATTAGTAAAGGTTAACCTAGTATACGAGGTTCTACGGGAGTAATGTTTACTCTGAAGGTAGGAGGTTTGCTTAGACTTCAATGTTTCTTGAAAGTTTAACCGCTTTTAAGATTATTATAATTTTTAATGCTTTTTTTTAATTTGAAGTCGGTTCTATTTTTCGAAATACTTATATAGGTACTTTATTTAATTATTTTGTATAGGTATCACTATAATATTAAATATCTATATAAAAGAAATTATATTTACAATGAAAGGCCACAATTTTTATTTATTTCTACGACGTAAACACAAAGAAATCGGTGAAGATAGCTACTTGCATAAAAATAATTATACTATCGATAACTCAGTAGAAATAGGGAAACCTGAGGAAAACTAAAGTAATACGAAGATCGGGTGCAAGACAAGCATAGACTAAAGTATACAAGATTACTAACTTACATATATTAGTATATAAGATTACTAACTATAAAACTAATATTATAAAAGCGGAAGTTTGTGAGGATGGATGTATGTATGTTTGTTACTCTTTCACGAAAAAACTACTGGACCGGTTTTGATATTTGATGGTATATAGATACTTCTGAGCGTGGATTAACATATAGGCTACTTTTCATATCACTAAACAGTTTCCTAGGGACCACGCGGGCGAGGCCGCTGGTGAAAGCTAGTATGGTATAATTTCAAGTTACATAATTATGTAATCGTAGCTTGGTTAAGAAAAAAGCAAGCTATCGTTACTACCTTATTTTGTACTATGTAATATTTGACTATGATATTAATTTCAGAAGTTATCTGACTTGAGTTGTTCCACTGAGCCATCTGTTTGAAATATTTAATTAAACTTTAAATTCGTAAATAAGTCGAAACGTAACTTCCGAAGCAAGGCGGATCTCGAGATAATAATAATTTTCGGTCACCCATCCTATGAGCGGCCCTTACAAAAGTTGCTAAATATTACAAACTGAACGCGCTAAGCTTCGCTAACAAGCGCTATGCATACAGTTTTATTAATATTTCTTAGCTTTAATTAAAACGTGGAAATTACCAGGAACCAAGGATGGCACGCAAGACGCAATATCTATTAAACTAATCCCCTTAGTCAATTTACTATCATCAATGGTGGTTAGTGGCCCCATAAATAAATCTCGGTGAACGTGTTCCCTATATGCAGCGATAAACGTCACCATATATCTTAGAGTTCTTTCAAAGAGTTGCCTTTAGTGGCGTAAATTTTTCCTACGTAATTTACCTAGGAAAGATTTATACCATTATTCATTGACCGAACTTTATCTTAACCGCTATGTCGTTTAAAATAAAGTTCGTTGGATTGAAAACACTATTTATACTAATATTATAAAGAGGTTGTATTAGATATCTGATAACATCACTTAAAATATAACTAAATTTCCAATTGATGCAATGATTTATCTTTTATCAGATTTACTCAAAATTCATCAAGTTGTTTTCATAAGAATAAACAATATGTATAAAAATAACTGTATAGTAAGTATAAAATAGTTGCCTGAACAGATATTAGTAGGAAATATGAAAAATGCGATTCTGCAACGTAAATTAAAAGTTATTAGATTCTAGTTTGCCATTCCAAATGAAGATAGAACTCTTTTGTAATATAGTGGATATTTTCATTAAGTAAAAAAGATGTGTCATGTTCATTAAACAGAAAATATCATAATATACCAACATATTATTTTGCTGAGATGAAATGGCTAACTACAAAATATTATTAAAAAAATAATATAAACAAATAATATCTACGGAATTAACTCACTTTACTTTTACTTCAAGCTTTGAAGCTAAACTTTAAATGTTCATATTTTATGGCTCTTCATATTTTCCACATCGCTTCAGAAAGTTCGACGATTTATTATAATCACGAAGTCCACAAGCACAGATTACATAGCGGATAATGGAATTTAGCACGCAGTTGATCAAAGGGATAGAAATGCGGAGGATACTTTTTCATGGACGTAAAAAAGTAAACTTTTTCTTGAACGTAATGAGTTTTCATTCCGATACATAATATCAAATGTGATAGCAATATGGCTATACAGAGTCGGTGGCGTAGTGGATAAGCGTTGCGGCCCGTGATCGTTTTTGTTAATGTTGGTCACGGGATGAGTGACCAAAAAATTATAATCTCGCTACTTCGTAAGGCACGTTAAGCCGTTAATTCCGGCATTTGCATAATGCCCTCCAATTCTATCATTTTTCAATCCAGACTCAAGCTCTTACATGGGAAATATATCCATCAGAGTTACTATATAGATTTCCATTACGTAACTAAAGATCTTGCACCTTAGATAATAAAAATTGTTTTTTTACGCCCCTTAGATCTAGATTGCAGTTTATTTCTATACGTACCCTATACATATAGTACCTCCATACAATTACTTTTAACCTCCAACGATGTAAAAAGAATATTAAATGTATAAGTTTATACTTGAAAGAAAATAATTAAATAAAATAATATTATCCAACATCACATACATTACTCAGATTCCAAAAAATTAAAGCACTAGTGCTAAGGAGTATCTCAAACAATGGAGAAACCACAACACTCTGACCCGAGGGATTAAAATAAATCATATTCTACTTTGACCCGACCGGGAATCGAATCCGTTTCCTCAGATATAGCGACACCTTGATACCGGCATACGAACCACTCGGCTACAGACATGGGCAATAATACATTGTATTGTTTACTTATATCTAGACGAATGTTAGCTAGCGTTTATATGAAAATAACTTATTTCTCAAAGGTTTTTTCCATTATGAAGCCGTTTGTTTTCATTAGTATACGCTTTGCCAAGTTTTGGTAAGAAATAAGAAAACATTCGATGTTTTACAGGTGAAATACTTTATTTAACAAATGACGCGCCTACTTTTTGCGTGATTATATTTTGGTAAAGCACAAGAATTAATTTCATTATCTCTATATATGTATAATCCTTTAGTATCACAAAATGTGTTCTGTAAGTAAAAATTTATTAAATGAAAAGGTAAAATTTTTTAACTTAAAAAATGATTTTTAACTGAAATTATTGTTATTTTTATTATTTATAATAGTAATATTTTAGTGTAATTCATTAAAAAATAAAACTGCACTTAATAATTTAAGTAATTTATTTTATCATTAAAAATCTTTACATAATAACAAAAATAATTTAATTATAAAACTAATCAAAAGTTATTTACACGAAAATAATAATATTTTACTCTTATAAAGTCATATTGATTCATTTTTAATGGCACAGACAAATAACAGTTTATTGTATAATATGATGAATCTTATAAATACAAAAAATATAGTTTTAATTGTTATATTTGATCAAATTTGCATTCACAATGCTATACTGAAAAATAATCTTAATGAATAACGCTTTAAAAATTCACTTTGTCCCATGTCAGAATGCCGAGGACAAAGTGGATTTTTTAAGCATTTATCATTAACACAGTTTTAGTTTATTATATTTAATATAAGTGTTAATAAACTAGATGGTCCTTATTGAAGAAGGTGTTATATATAAACAAAAAATTACCAAAGTAACTACATGTTATACTTAATTTCATTCACTGCTTTAGGATTAGATGATCCACATGGGAGAACTCTCCATTTTTTAACAGGTTTTAGGTATATTTATTTATTTATATAAACCAACAGCGTTACAAAGGTTTATACATAGACATAATTACATAAATAAAGTCAATAACATATTATAAATATACAGATTTTTTTATTCGTACACAATTCTTTTCCTATGATTTAATATCGTAAATTGAACTTCACGCAGATTTTTTTATAAAAATAATATTAATATTTATTTTGTTGTTATTTATTCCGTTTTCAACTATTTTTTATAACAGTAGTGATAAATATGTAATAAAAAGACATCGACCTCTGTATGCAGTAGAAATATAAGTGGCAACGTATTTTTATATACATTTTCTATCTCCCTAGTTAGCAGGTCAAAAAAGAGAAAAAAACGTGAATATGATAAACCGTAACGAACACTAATGAATTTTATGCACTGAGTACAATTTTTTCCTGTATATGAAAATATACTGACATCCAGACAGGAATGACTGCTTTATAGTAATAAACATTTAATAATTAAATACGCCTTTGGCTTTTGTAATTTTCCTAATACTAAATTCTCTTACACTTTTTATTGGTCTCTCATTTCTCTTTACGTTTCCCATTATGCTATGATTCTATACAATATTACAACAAACTATATTACTGTTCATTTCATTCTTTATTTTTAATATAACATTAATTGTTATGTATTACTCTTATGAACAATTTATGGAATTAAGCTTTGTTATAATTTCATATATCGCATGGCAGTTGTGTGTATCTTAAGCATGCACCAATATTTTCTTCGGGATTCCTCTTGGAAGTTGCCGTTCCAAAGTGCACGGACACTGCGAATGGTGAAATAGATGTCTCAACTCTGCAATCGTTGTTGCCAACGCCAGGACAGAAGGTGTTGCCGCAGTGATGAGGGTCGCACACACCTGGAATGTAGGAGGTACTCTGGAAAATGGAAAATAGCGATATTTTAATGTTTATTATTTTAAAGGAGGCCAGTTAGAATAAGTGTTTTTTATGTTTGAAATAGTATATTCTTGGGAGGGTCTCATCAGTTGCGGACAACTCCATTAGAGGCCAGGAACTGGAATAACAACATCCTCTAAATTATTTTGACTACATTTGTTACTCTTAAAAATGCACTTCTAAAATATATTTTTTTACTAATATCAACTTTAAAATAGACGAAAAATCTTAAAGGCTGTTGACAAATTTAAAATTCGTAATTTGAAGGCGGATATTTAAAATTATCACCTATTTCATTTATCAAACGCTATCGGCTTTTCTTAAAAACATTTTCATATCATTAAAGCTACTTTGATTATAGATCATCTTATCATTGACATTATTACATTTATTTTCTTTTCATAAAATATGTTTAAAGCTAATACAAGACGGAAAATTCTCAGAAACTTTGAAGCTCGTAGTTTAGATAAACCAATGATATTGATCCACAAACTCTAACTTTGATGCACCGAACTTAATATTATTATACAGCGAACAAGTTAAATAAGTCTGTTTCCATGAATTTTTCAGATCCAGACGAAGTTGGGTTGTGTCTAGAAAGTGTGGAACAATTTGCCGCCGTCGGGACCTCGAATTGCATCGCTAACTTACACCGCGTAGAATATTGCATGAACCTCTTGAACTTCATGTCTTGTTATTCAAGTGCAAGACGGTGATTCGTTTTGTTTTAAACAAATCAAGTTGCAATGAACAAGTTCTGATGGAAATAATAAGCGGTATTAATGTTGATGAAAATATCAATTTTGGGCCACTGAAGCTTTCATGAAGCTGCATGACGCGCCTATGATATTATTCTATGAAAAAACCGGCTAAATACGATTCTGACTCGCGTACGAATGGTTCTGTACATATCTTTAAAACTGCTAAAAGAAACACATTTGTTGTTTGGAAGCCCCCTTAAATATTGTTGTTATTCTGTTTTTAAACAATATCTCCCGGGCCCTTACCGAAAAAGAGAGGATGCATCGAAGGGGGTTTAGTGAGTATGCCAACCGCGTCTTAACACAATGCATAAAGCATTCCCCCTACGAAACTAAAGAGGGTATGTCAAGTACTCTATTCTATCCACAAGCATAAGCCTTCCCTTATGCCCAAGAATAACAATCACTGTAATGTTAACGACCATAAAGTTTAAAACAACGTAATTGGTAATGACCACCATCTTTTAGAAACTTTTTATTTTTTAATTATTTCTTTGAATACAGAAAAAAAAGAAAGTGGACAGTAACTCATCGTTTTAATTAAAGCAGTTTTAGTATTCCTTCTGATTTAAAAAAACATACCGTAAATAGGGTTGATGACTAGATAAAAAAAAACTAGTCCCTCACTCTGATAATAGAAAAATATTCGCTATATATTTTTTATTTATTTTAATTTAACAAGAAATAGCTTAAATAATTGGCATTAAAGCGGAGGAGTGAGGGCTCGCTACGTCGCAATTTTTTAGAAAAAGTTCATAAGCGTGACGTCATGTGAGATTTTAACTCAATGTAACGCCGTAGTTTAATGATTACGCAAAAAAATACCTGTTCAATATATTTCAACAATCTACCTAACGGACAAACACAAAAAACTTTGCCATCTAGTCTATTCCCTGTAGCTGAACACACCAACTTGTCCCATCCAGAGTTCTTGAATAGCACTAAATAATCTACAGTATTAACTTAACTTCTACTAGTCAATGGAATGAACCACTCACCGATATAAAGTATTCATTCTCGCAAGGTATTGTGATTCTGTCTGTGCATCTCTTCCTGCCGTAACCCAGTAGACTGGCGCCGAAGTTCCCGTACCCGTAGTATCGCAGTTTGTCGTCCTCCTTAACGTAGTGCTGAGCATACGGCGACCACCTACTCCACCCCCACGACATACTCCGCTGTCCCCACAGCCAAGACGGCCAGATAAAACTCCAGATCTATTGAACGTTAGTGGGTTAGCCTAACTACGGGTCGGGATACTACTATTAATTAAGGAATACGATTGTTATAATAAATACCATTTTATAATAAATATACTTTTTTCTTATAACCAGTGCACGCAGTGTTTTAAATTCATATTTGAGTATAAATTAATTAGATGTTTATTAACGTTTTATTTTGTTTGAAAATATATATGATCTAGACCAGTGATTCCGTGGGATACAACGGGGATCCACCACTCCGAATTTAGGGTTGGAACTTACCCGCGACGCCAATTTCCATCGTTAGATCTTCACATTTTGACGAATTTTGGGAATATGGTAAAGATGTAGCAGCAGGGGGGTCCACCGAAACCAATAAATTTTTTTAAATGGTCTACGAGAAAAAAAATGTTTGGGAACCTCTGATCTAGACGATAATTTACAGAAACTAACGCATTAATAAAATTTGTGCACTGCTTACTAATTTTCCTGTATTGCAAATCGGAAAATGGTTCTAAGCTTTTACTGGATTAACATTTGTCATGCTGTAGATATTGATACTTAATGTTTATTTTAAACATTATGATTAATATCGCTCACTGAATAGTACAGTGGCACAACTCAAAAACCATAATTTCGAGGAACGCTCTCCGAAGTTATGAAAATCTAATATATTTATAATTATGAAAATCATTTTTTTTAGTATAACTGTTAAATCTTTAAATCTTTTTTCTTTAAATTATCTATGGGATGCCACCACAATAATGTGGCGTTTTCTCGAAATAATGGTTTTTGAGTTGTGCCACTGTACTATTCAGTGAGCGATATATGGTAGAGTTCAAGTGAGATCACATTGGATTCTAAGATTAAATAAACGCTTTAAAGGCTAAGTCTTCCGAGCGAAATTTTGCCGATATTAAGTGAAATATATATTTGAGATCAGAAATTTTTATTTTTATACAATGAGTTTAATAACTAGAGAAGCAATTCCATACAACAGCGTAGCACAAAAAGCGTAGCACTTTTCCGAAATCAGGACGTAGCTTTGCAAATAATATTTATACTATATAATATAAATAGGTTTATTATATCTCCCTCATATCTACGATTAAACTTTAAGTTAAACAGAGACAGAATATGTGCGAACGATATAATGAACGGAAAATGGGTAATTGATATTGTATTGCCAGCTGTCGAAAATTTCACCCATTGTGATGAATGAATGAATGAACGAGTAGTGTAGATATATGTTTAAAATCAATTAGTAAAATACTGTAACTTTGAAAAAACTTAAAAAAAAAACCAATCACGAAAGTAGGCTCTGTGCACATATATCCCTTTGTTTTTCGATAAAGTTAGTGGTTAAGACAAAAACATTTGTCGAAGTTCATAAAACATCAAACAAAGGTTCAATTTTACGACTTTTCAAAAGTTGTATCTCGATAAATAACGAATTCCACGCATTGAAAAAATTAAATCACAGTATCTGTGTGTGTGTATAAAAAAAATATCAACACAATTAGCGCAGTTATACTTAAGCTAACCTATACTTAAGCTGAGCTATATAATTAATTATAAAAAGATATTTAGATAAATTATAGCCACGTTAAATAAAAAGAAAAGGCTCCCATATACTTGGGAAAATTCAAAGTGAATATCAGTGGCAACACTGACGACAAAATGTCGAAATTTTATTTGTGAAAATTAAATATTTTTATTTTATAACCTAGCTATAATTTTGTATTTATTGCCAAAAATGTTAATGATTTAAATGTGAAACTTAATATTCTTTCGTATTATGTGTATTTGTGAAAGAGAATGGTATTTTATCTACTGTTTTTCTCTGTTTTTGCGGAGCATTTTTTTGTACTTTCTAGGCGGGAGTTGAATGAGTAATTAAGTGAAAAACGCAAAAACTAAGACAAACGTCTTAGTTTTGGTAGCTTCAGATTTTTGGTATGTTTTGCGTATCTGTCTAGATACGCAATACATACCAAATATTATTATCATTGTTTTTATACCTCTCTCATGTAAAATTCACAAAATTTCATTTAGATCGATTAGCCTTTCAAACGTTGAAATCGAATGCGGACGATTCGGTATTTTAAGGATTCGATCAGACTACATTATGAGACCCTTAACAAGAATTTGCTAACACTACTCAGATAAGTTAATTATTACGACGGTAAGAAACACAGACATGATATTATTATATTACAGCTAATGTTTAAATATCTTACTAAATAATTACATAATATAGACTATATATTAAGAAAAAATTAATAACTGTTAATATTAGGATATTTTAATAAGGTTATTTTATTATCCCCAATAACGGTCATAGCATTTTGGTGAAAAATAAAACAGTTAATTTGAAAGCAAAATACATATTTACGAAAAGTAACTTAATATTAACTAAGTTATTCCAATTCAATAAGTACAACTTCTAAGAAGTATCTTATTAAAGGCTCCTGTACTATAAGAATATGAGCAGAATTTACTTTTTATCTCGAGTAGTGACAGAGAATCGCTTAAATAAAACCTAACCGAATAGTAAACTACTAAGACTTATGCTGAATAACCTACATATTTTTGTTTCACTTCTACATTTGGAAGTTATAAAAAATTCTTCTGTAAATAAACCAATACTAACTCTTGCAGCCAGACTTGGTGAGCGAACAGGATCCTCCACTACTGAAGCCATCTGAGGATCAGCACCTGAACCTTCTATTTCTTCAATCTCGTTCGCTGGCATTACTGGCATTTGTTGCATAGAACCTGAAAGTAACAGTAACATATGCAAAAAGTCGAAAATACGATGAGAACTTTTTCAGATTAACGTAATCAATTCCACAACACACTTTATAAACCATGTTGGGAGACGTGCGGTAGGGTATTTAAATTAATAAAGGTCACAGTGATGTAAAATAGTTCTCTAGCCAAAACCGGTACAGGTTAATAGGATATAGAAGATTACTACATTCAGGATACAAGGGGTAATCTGTATGTGAACCATTTTGAGATTCCTCCATCTGTTGATCACCGGTAATGTTGGCCCTCGGCGTGGTGGAAATTGCTGATGGGTCATTTTGACCATCGGGTCCGTAGGAACCGGTGTCTGGGCCGCCAGATACGCCAGAATCAGGTTCTATTTCTAAGATTAAATGTTGGCCATAAATTGATATGACACACTTCGTTATAACATGAAAATAGTTAGGACACCTTTCATAATATTCTAAAGCCAGGTGAAATAATAATGCAAAACATAATAAAAAAATACAGTTAACTATCTTTCAAAAGAATCCTACATATTTATCAAAGAAGGTCACTATTGTTCTCTAATAAAAATATATTCGTATACAGCTTAATTAATTATACCAATTATTGCAAACACGTAGCACATAGGTATAGATAAAATTCTTGAAACTTACCAGCAGGATCAATAATTTCAGGGGTGCCTTTTCCAGGTCCAATCCTGAAGGAGCGATTATCACAGGGCGAGTACCTGACCCCACATTTCCCAGTGTTCTTGCGTACGCACGCCTTATAATCCTGTCCAGCTAAATGCCGACCGTTGATTGCAAAATTGAATGTCTGTATCGTACCTGCGAAAACGCCTGAGGATTTTATTGCTGCAATGTTGTGAATTGGTATTACAATTGTGTAAAAAGTTATGTAGTATTTTTTCTAATTTGTTGCACAATCCAGCACGCGTAGCATGACAAACTCGAGAAACGCTTTGTCTATACTCATTTGTCAGTTTCTCGGCTCGAGATTGAGATACAAAACATTTTCGAGTTCGTCATGCTACGTGTGCAGAGATAAAAAAAAACCAGCTAGGCCAACTCGCCCACTGAGGGTTCTGTGTAAACATTACATTTAAAAAACAGATTTCTATTCAGTATTTTGGTATTCCTATTGCATATGCATATTTTTCAAAACCTTTTAAGCCTACTTTTTTAATAATTTCAAAACTTTTACGATAGTACCTGGACGTGCCAGAGTCGGATCTAGGAGTCGCCAAAATTATCATAATATAATAAAAATAGTAAAAGAGTTCCCGTTTTACCCCTTGGGTACGGAACCCTAATAAACAAAAGTTTTACAAATACGGATGTTTTTTCAAAGTCCTTAAACGAAATAAAAGCACGCGATGGGAGCGCAACATAAAGTTTCTCCCCCGGTTGTACTAAATTGTAAATTCAGGCCTGGGACCAGCCCATTCCCCATGCGTATATCAAATTTTAACACGATAGGTTCAGTCGTTTTGGTGTACCTAAATACGATGCCTTCTTGTCTTTTGGAAATTTTTGGTCACCCATCCTATAACCGGCATTTACGAAAATTGCTTAACTTTGGAATGAGTTAACACTGAACGTTTTAATTCCTCAATATATACACTAGCTACAACTAAAACTTACCGTTATCAGCAGTATAGTATTGCAAGCAGTCGTGGGGCGCAGAATATGCAAGGGGCATCTGAGCAAACCTCATAAGCCACAAACGTGGCATCTCACTCCCCCTCATGCGGATAGACAGGTGGGTACTCTTCGTATTAGGCAGCTCGTCTTCTTCTCGAGATTCAGTACTACTGGGCAATGTATAGTATACTGTTGACAATAGGAATATTAAATGTAAAACGTAATTATCCTTAATGCCTTTCCATAGGAGAACGAATTTTTAAAATCGGCCCAATAATTTTGTAACCTATTCGAAGAAAACAAGGTGTCAAATATTACCCCTTTATAACATTAGTATAGCTTTAGATACCTTTTCTTTTTTTCATATTATGAACTTATCAAAATGCTTTGAAAGTAAAGGAAATAAAAAACTTAACGTCCGCTGACAAAAAGTTTGGCTAAGTTGTAAAAAAGGATTCTCATATTTATTTTATCGTAGAAAATTGCATAAATCGAGAAAAAATACTGACGTTTCTATAAAAAAAAATAGATTAGAAAGCAGTTTCGTAAATTTATAAGAGTGTTTGACCCTCTTCAGACGTCTCCTTTGATACAGGAAATGACCTTCCTATGTGGCCTATTGTGAAGAAAATGCTTTTGGTCAGTGCATTATTCCGTGGCTGACATGTGTCTGGGAAACATTGACGGCATGATAGGGTGAATTAATTTCATGACTTAATATTATTCAATAAGACCCTATCCCTCTGTAACAGTGCGGCATCATTCTGACAGCATTCTCTTTACTCCATACTTTATATTCAACCTTTTCATCAACTTGATATCGTAAATTATCTAACTTGTGTAACTTAATAAATTATATTCACTTTTATAAGAACCTCTAATTGTTTATACGAGGGTCAAACTGAAAGTTCTTAGAACTGGCCACTTATAAACAATATAATAAAAAAATAATTCTAAAATTTGAAAATATAACTATTTGCCAATATTACTGAGTATATATTTCATTCATTTGTCATTTGTTTTACGATTTGGCGGCAAATTGAAAATTGTCTGTGTCACGTCATCATGAATTTAACACGAGAAAATTTTCGTGCAATGATTTTTTATGACTTTCGATGTCATTTAAGTCAACAAGAAAGTTATGATAGACTACGATTGGCCTTTCACGATGAAGCCCCATCTCGTGCGACTGTTTACAACTGGTTTAATGAGTTTAAACGTGGTCGCACTAATCTCACTGATGATTTACGTGAGGGACGGCCTTCTACGGCGACGACTGAAGATAACATCTGTGTTGTGCGGCGTATGATAGAGACTGACAAAAGAGTGACCTAAACAGATTCTGACAAGCTTAGGCATCGGTATGAGTCAAGTGCACAAAATCCTCCACGAACATTTAGCGGTCAGGAAGCTTTGCGCCCGGTGGATACCTCATAATTTGACTGAGGCTCAAAAACTCCATCGTGTGGATTGGTGTCGTAAAATGATTGAAAGATTTAACGGAGGTGACTCAAATGCTGTGTTCGACATACTAACAGGTGACGAAAGCTGGATTTACTGTTATGATCCTAAAACCAAAAGACAATCTGCTCAGTGGGTGTTTCCTTTCGAGGAGTTGCCAACTAAAGTGAAGAGAGATCGAAGTGCGGGAAAAAAAATGGTGGCCTCGTTCTTTGGAAGGATAGGTCATTTTGCAACAATTGTGTTAGAGGATCAAAAAACAGTTTCTGCAGAATGGTACACTACCAATTGTTTGCCACTTGTCTTGGAAAAAGTTCGAGAGAAACGACCTCGCAGTAGGATCCTCCTTCACCACGACAACGCCTCGTCGCACACCGCCAAGCGAACGATCGACTATTTGGCGACATCAAACGTTGAATTACTGGGTCACCCGCCGTATAGCCCCGACCTCGCGCCTTGTGATTTTTATTTATTTCCAAAAATTAAAGAAAAACTTAAAGGAAAGCGGTTTATGAATGCTGAAGAAGCGGTGGCTGCGTATCGCGATGCCATTGAAGAGACCCCTAAGGACGAGTGGGCAAAGTGCTTTTCCCAGTGGTTCCATCGCATGCAGCGGTGTATTGACGTGAATGGACAATATTTTGAAAAGATATAATAAAACTAATAACTGGCTAATGTAATCAGTTTTTGATTTTCTAAGAACTTTCAGTTTGACCCTCGTACCAACACAATATGTTGTGTAAATGTATCCAGGGGGATAATTATCTAGTTTTAAAATCTATTGTAATCCCTTTCAATTTGAAAGACATTCACAAACTTCACTCTACAACTATATGACAAAATAACGATTCCGATCGCAACTTTTGTTTGAAAGATATTAAATGAACGATATCGTTAATTGGACCTTAATTTTACCTTAATTTACAAATATCTTCGAGAGTTATTAAAGAAATGTCATCCGATAGAGTTGAATGCTAACTGCAATGTTTTCACGGGTCTAAGTTTTTATTACGAAATAAATTAGACAATTAATATACAAAAATAAGGACTCACTGTGCTGTCCGTGGTTCTGACCGCACAATAAGAATTTGCTATCCCCATCACCCAAAGTCATGACGTCCTCGTCGCACTCTCCTGTAGTCCGATTCGGTTGTCCCTATAAATAAACATATAATCAATATTTCTATGTAATCTGCTTGTTCTTATTTTTTTACTTTTCATTTTTCTTGATGTACCGATAATAAACTAAGTCTTTTCCCGCGTTTAAATATTACTGAACAAATCTTTTTACTATGTTTCCACCAATAGATAGAGTAATTGATAAGGTAGGTGTAGGTATAACTAATAGTGGTTTTGTGTAAATTTTGTTAATATAAATCATGCTTATTAGAAATTACTACGTGTAAATTACAAACTTGCGAAGCCCGGATAGATCGCTAGTTGAAAAATAAAATATAAATCTATGCTGACGCTACAACGAGCGTCAGTCTGTAAATGAATTGTTTGTATCACAACAGAAACCCTTAATTCTTGTTGACGTAAGCCACAACTTTTAATTCCACTTAGTGGCTCTGGGAATTAATATAATGCTATTAGCAAACGTTGGAAGCGTGGCGAGTTGTAATCAAATAGATTACTTTAGCTCAGACCGATGTTTGTGGCGTTAGCAAATTTTAGCTAACAATCATAAGCGACTTCCTGTCATAGAACTTTGCTATATTATTTTTAGAAATAGGTTTTATATGATTGAACCTCTATGCAATTACAGCGATGCAATCGACATCGAGTGTACAGCTGTTTTATAACAGAATAACACTGCAGCTTTGGTAAACTGAAATACTAATAAACTTAATCGGACGTAGTAGTGATTATGTCTGAAATCATCAGGTCTACAGTGGAACTGATCGGAGTGACCTTAAATAATTGTATGACTGGAATTAATTTCATATCAAAGTTTGAATTAGAATTAAGATTCTAAAAAAGTGGGACTTTACCGTCACCTATTAAAAATATTCCTTTTTAGAATAACTTCATTCAACTTACGAGTCTACTAAATAGAAATAAAAATAAATAAATAACTAGAACATTGATTACGCAAAAAAATCAAATCTATGTCAACCGGTTAGCTTATAAGCTGAATGTAAAAAGTGACCGACTGAGTAAATGGCTGGGTGCTAATTACTTTCTTATTTATATGTATGTCTTTCAAACATATTATTAGTACTACTTTAGAAATTGACCGTTGTTGATTAAGATATATCTATATAAAATTATAATCAGTCTCGTTGGATTATAAAATATCATAAGTTTAGGATAAATAAGAGTAAGAACGCCTATGTTCCTGCACTGTGTACGTCTGAATTTACAGTGTGCCTATTTACATGATATGTATAGTGATACCACGTCAACTTCCTCATCAGTGGATGAGAAAGTTTACCAAATTTTTTTCGATCACAAAAAATGTGGACAATCATGGTCTGTCATTGGTTTATCCCGTTTATCCACTACTGCAAGTACATTTCCATTGATTAATAGATCCTGCATGTGGTGTGCAGCGATTTCTGTGCTAATTTTAATTAGACTCATTGATTTACCAACCAGTATAAGCTCATTTACATAAGTAGATAGTGCCCGCATGCGAAGTGTGGACGATCACTATGCTTATTTTCAGTAGGCGATCATGGTCTCTCATTGGTTTATACACTATCGCAAGCACATTTCCATTGATTGATAGGGCCCAGAGATTTCAGTGCTTGTTTCCATTAGACGGTCATTGTATGTCATTGGTTTCCTGACTAGTGCAAACTCTTTTATATTAGTCGATAGGGCCCGCATGCGGAATGCAGAGATTTCTATACTTATTAGCATTAGTATTTGACTGAAACTGAAAGAGTTTATCGGCCAGTGATATCAACCCGCAGGAATCACTTGCACTATCCATGCAGAATGTAAATGTGCCATTATAAAAGTCAATAGTTAATACAAACCCCTAACGGGCGAACCCTTTACCTATTGCAACATCACCTCCAAAGAGGTAAAATGTGAGAGTAGCTGCCTTCCCCCTTAACTTTAATATAAAAATAAAATAATAATAATTTTACTCGTAGTAACATTATAAATTGACTATGCTTACTCATAAATTTACTATTTATAAGAAGGAGAAATAACATACTTACCTATTACTTATAATATAAATATGATTGTATGAATAATTAACACTCACAATGGTAAAATGCACGAAATCAATCTTCAATTGTGTAATCCCAGCATGCGTCTTCTCTATAGTGATATTGCAATCCCGAGAGCCGGTCCACAGTTCCGGGAAACCAGGCGACAGGAAGTATGTCAAGTTGTTCTGTATGGTGCCTCCGCATGAAACCTCAACTGTAATAAATGACAATAATTAAATATCTTAGTCAATATGAATCTGAACAACACAGAATACTACAATACTTATAATGTAGTACCTATTTATTTTAATAACAGGCAATGTAGATGGTAAACGATAAGACACGAAGAATTACAAATGCCGATATTCCAGACTTTCCATCAAACTTAACAGAGTAAATGGAGTAGTCTGTTGCATCGTTTCCTTCGAAGTCACAACCGTCAGCACTGAGGGTCTGAGTTGAGCAATACGATAAACCATAGATGTGTGAAGAAGAGGGAGTAATAGCTGACCGATAGTATGCAATGTTTTTTGCTGGATTGCTATCATGTACTTGTTTCTTTTGTCTTGTATTATGTATTGGGTACATAAACCCAATATTTCGGCGCTGTTACAAGCGCCATGATCACGAGGTACCTAATTTTGTGGGCAACTCCGCAAAAATGTAACCCTTTGAAATAACAATAATAAATAATTCTAGCGATAAAATATCTAACATTTTAAATGTCTTGATCTACAAATAAAAGTGAAATTACTTTCCAAACGTGATTTCTAAGCCTCGCCTTATTCTCGGCCTACAAAATTATGCAAAAAAAATCACATCATATGTCAATTTGTTAAATGATTTATCGGACTAGATTAACAGCACCACACAACGGATGAAAATGGATGTCAAATAGTGAGTCAATAGGATCCGCTGCCCTGAATGCACCTGCACCTTATCACTACAAAATAAAGTTCATTTTAGAATAATATAACTAGGTTTAAGCCACATGATTTGTTAAGAAATAGCGGTCATTAAAATACAGATTCATTCATTTAAAAGTTATATTATTTATTTATTTTGTACCCACATACAATTTCATATGAACAAATGTAACAGACATTAGAACGAGGGCACTGCTTATTTCAAATTGAAATTTCTACCAGCAGGCCCACAACAGGAAAAAAAAATATGTTTTTGTATTTTTAGTTTTATTACAAAAATCACTTTTCGTCTGATTTTTGAAAATAACTTAGTCGCCACTTTTGCCCGGCATTTTGCTTTTATAGCTTCAGATCAAAAACTTCCGATGAAATTATTAAATGTATCAATATCATTGAAATATTTTGTTCATTTTTTAATATTTAGAAATACTACCTGCGCACAAAGTTTCCCGCTGGCGCTCTACAATATGGTATGAGTTTTAGATCGCAGATAACTAGTTTATACCAGTAAACTGACGCAGCAGACGAGTGGATTAGTTGAAATGTAATCAGCAAGACGGTTCAAAGACAGACCCGTTCCTTGAGATACCTACCCATAAACATTCGTTTACATACTTTGACAATTTCACTACGAAATATTTTAAGCATATTAATTTTTCAGTAATAATCTCAAATCGGTATATTCTTAACAAAATAATTTACTAATCGATAATGTTTCACACTGAACAAATTTTAATATGAACACCGCTGCCACCAGATATTCCAGCATCTGACCTACGCACTGGATACTGAGTTATGTGTAGCCTTAATTACTTAAAAAAAATCATTTAATAGGGCGTAATAACAATTATAAACACTTGCAAATTATTGTTACGAGCTCTTATGCTATAAGGTTATCATTATAATTATATAAATGCTTACTAAGAATTTATTTATTCTATCCTCTCTATCAAATTCGTCATGCCTATATATACGGACTCGAGCTTTGCTACGCTGTAAAAAAATAGGCATTGAACTCAACGTCGCATAACGTTGTCACAGCTTCAAAAAAATAAATCCAACTTCAATATATAATAAAAGATTTATTTTATTTAACCTCTATAGCGCAACAGAGCTGTTTTTTAACTCTGTATACTCTGATTTTATAAGAAGGTGCCAAATATTTCATAAAATCCTGCAAGTATTGTATGTAAGTACCTACGTAGCGCTTGAAATTGATCCGCGTCACGCCATAGCCATTTAGATTGCAAAGAGAAACATTCCCAAGCAATCTTAACATCCAAATAGGTAAGAGTTACGTTCCGCACGCACGTTACCTTGTTTACTTGTGCATGCATCTTCGGAAACTTTTAGCGTAAGCACTTTAGACAATACACAATGTAGAAATTATTTTAAATTTTTACCTTGGTTGATCGAAGATTTTTACCAATTTTGTTACACTAAGGTGGGGTCGTATTTGACTTAATTGCTTGATTGAGCTAAATATGCTACTTCATCGAACAATGATAATAATTAAAGACACAAATATCAGTAGAGAGACCAAATTAATACTCATAAATTACAGCGTGAACTCAAGAAATGGTTAATAGTTTACTTACGATGAGTTTGAACATGCAATAGTGCAATGAGGAAGTATTTAAAAAAAAAATCTTTCCCGAAATCAAACTTGATGTCGCTACAGTACTTTCTTGATTTCTCCATGACAACCTTTCCGGTTTTCGTTCATCTATAAAGTAAATTCGTTTTTAAAACTTAATAAACAACTCATATTCTATTGGTACTTTTTCGTATTTGTATTGATATCTTAGTTTCGTACTTTGAAAATTTCAGTTTTTTAATATGTTATTTAAAAGGAACGGAAATGACTATCTTTGGTCCATTAGCTTCCTGCAAAAATCAACTTTTGCTAGAGTCGCTATCTAGTGGAGATGTTTTCAGTGCTTTCCTTTTTCTTTAATCTTCCTCATTACAACTAAAGAACAAGGCAAGCGGCGAAGAGCAGCATCGGTGAATTAAACATTTTGCAATAGGCTTTTTGCAATTCATTAGGACAACAATTAATCCATTCCAATATCATATATTTACCGAACGATGAAAGGTCGTCTTGTACAAATCTTAGGCAATTAGAATGCAATAAAGATATGATTTCTTGCTCACAAAATAATAAGACGACATTAATAAGCCCTTTTACTATTAGAAACTGAGCAAATATCCCTATTAATACCATCACAGCAATCTCAATCGACATGGTGCAAATCGTTAATTACTAATCACGTTTCCACGCCATTTGAACTACCTTGTGCCCTCGCCACCGATAAAAATTTGGGTGAATTAATTAATGATATATTCTTTATTGTACATCATTACAGTAATAGATTAATATATATATATATGTAGAATCGGTGATTTGTATTCCATTTGAACTACCTTGTGCCCTCGCCACCGATAAAGATTTGGGTGAATTAATTAATGATATATTCTTTATTGTACATCATTACAGTAATAGATTAATATATATATGTAAAATCGGTGATTTGCAAATTTATTTCTATTTATTTTATTTTGATGAGTTATTATCTTGGTATTGTTCCCTATGTTCTGTATTCCGTAATCCACAATCCACATTGACCTCTTGGTATGATATATAGTAATTAGTTGCTGCGTTACGGTCTTCCTCTTCCTTTCTTTACTTTTTATTTTGCCTTCTTTAATGTTTTGTTTATTGTGCTATCATGTCGCAGCAAGTTTACAATCATTCTTTTCTTTATTATTTGAGGAGGATTCTTTGTTCGTTCAATATCAACAGTAAGTACTCTTCTACTCTCAGACGTTACCGAGCATTTTTGCTGATCTTAGCTCAAAAAAGCTATATATTCTCCTTGGAGAGATGTTATAAAATCTACCTAAGGTGAATAGACGCCTTGTATCTCTCGCTTACTAGTAGAGTAAAATCTCTCGAAGCGGCTCACGTGCTCTAAATTAAACCTCATTGGTTCCGCCACTTAACTTTTGTGACAAACGTTTATCAGTTACTACATGACCACTTTATGTAAAAGACTACTTTTAAGGAATGCCATTACTCCAATACGTATTATACTCACGACTATATAAACAACGACATAAAATACTTTAACCTTTTAACATTATAGTTTCTTTATTTAGTTAAATATAATTAGTGAATATTTTTAAAATGAATTTTATTTCCTTTGTTATATATGATATCTTCACAGTTATTTTTGATCCGATAGAATATATAATTTTACAAATGGCCACACTGTTAACTGCACAGTTTTTTGATGAGGCATCAAAAAACTGGAAAGAGAGAGAGTATCTTTCTATTTGACGTTGACAATTATGAACAGCCATAACTTGATGAATCTACATTGCCACAAACTTATCTGCCCCGGTGACAGCATCGCTGTTGTTGAATTCAGTACTGCCACTAAATAATATTTCCAGTTTTTAGGGTTATAATAATGACATTAGCCAAGTTATAGCATGTGTTGCTATCCCCAAGAAAGTAGAAAACAACAGCTAACCAATAATAAAACAGGAAAAAACAGTACATTAGTAAAAAGCACATATTTCATATTATTATAATATAATTAAAACAATACCATACTTTTACTAGTTATCAGAACTAACATACATTGTCATATTATAATATTGATCGCAAAATAAAAAAAAATAAAGAGAAATGAAACAAAATAAAAACCTAAATTATTTTCCACATTACTCCTCAATTGCCTCACCTTATTTATTTTGTAACTCATTTCCTTTTAAAATCATAAATGGTTTTGTTGAATTTCATCATATGCCCTTCTGTGGCTTCAAATGAGAACTGCTCAAACAGTAGGGTTGTTAATAAAAAATAGGGTAGTTTTGGTAATGAAAAATAAGCCACGATATTGCACAAAATTTAAAATTTACGTCTTAATAAATGTTTATTACGATGTAAATTTTAAATAACATAGAGATTCTGATTTTGAGCCTTAAAATAGCACGATTATCTTATTATCTTAAAATTAAAAGCCGTGATTTTTTTTGTCTGTGCGTCACGTGACAACGGTCATATTAGTCATAAAGATATGCCTATTAATTGTAAATCAAATTCCTAGAAGGCGTCGTTCTTGGCTCTCATTAATATATATTTTTTATTTCGTAATCGATCGTTTGATGGTATTGTTCTTGGGTATTGTTATTGACATGTTTTAATCTCTTACTCTATGCAACTGTTTTGTATGTAAAGTTAAGGTTTTGTGTACATATCACAATGACGTCATGAATATGACGGACAGCGTTTTCGCACGTCTAAAAAAGTTTAAATTTTGATTTAATTTAAAGCAATATAATGTGTTTATTTTTCGGAAATATTTGTTTCACGGCTTTTTAATGAAAATAAACTGTGACAAGTATTATATCAAATAAATTAGCATACCCTATTTAATTTTGTCATTATGATCGTGTGAAATTCCTGTATTCGAACCAACAAATTATTATTTCATCGTCAGAATCACTGACTCACTTTCGCTATCGCTTCCTAATCTTATGATGAACGGTTCATCTCAACAAACGTTTATTTCAAATCGCAATAATAGTCTGCCATCTAAATCAGTGTGCCCACTCTCTTTTAATATTTTGTCTATTTCATATTGTGGTGCTGGTTTGTGCCTCTTTATTAATACGTACAGGGGTGTTGAGTAACTATTATTAATTTCCAAATTATTTTCAATAAGCCAATTCAGCATGTCAACTTTTTAAGAATTTGTATTTTTACATTTGATTATGCAAATAATATTTTCAGGAACGCTATCCATCACAATAAAATATTAGTTTATAAATTAGTAGTAGTTTTTCTGTTATGAATATTATTATATATGTATACCATTTTTTTATGAATATTATTGTTCATTTCATCATAGTAATCACCATTTTTTACGCCAAATTCGTTCCGCTTAATTTTTTGCAGATAAGTTGCCCGTCATGCCGATATATCGTTGCGGTTAATGAGGATTTTACTATTAGATTGCGATTTCTCATATCGAAAACCAATTAGACGTAATATTTTTCTAAGAGTTTCACAACACGCATTAAAATTTATTTCGTGTCGTAAAATGTTTAGTATCTTTGGGATGATTGGTACTTCTTAATTTATGGTATCAAATTCATGTATTTTTCTTCTTATGACACCGAGGTCAAAATCATCAATTTCTTTAACTAATTTGAGAATAAATAGCTCTTCGACATCTAAACAATAAAACTATTTTTAAACCTTTTTAAAAATTTCATTACTTTGGTCCACTTATATGAACCCTTTAAAATTTCAGACTAAAATAGTATCTGAAAAATGTGATAAAACTAAAAACATCCATAGTTTGAGATTTTCATTCAAATGTAACCATGCCTTTAAATATAAATAGAACGAAGGGGTTTTTAATAGCAACAACCAGCAACACTAACCTGTAGCAGAAGCTTTCATAAAATTTTTCAAATGTTATTATCGGTGCTTCGAGCCGCTTCTCCTCCTGCATAAAAGTTAACAATTTCAGAATCATGTTTTTTGTGACAGTAAGATAGTAAAGTATGATGAAAATTTAAAACGATGGCGCCATAGTTCCAATTTTGATAAGTTTCAGAAACTATGTTTAATTTTCTCAGATAATACTATCAAATCAAGTTAAATAAGCAAAAGTCGTTTACTTTCGACTTTTGAAAATTATCCTTAAAAATTATCTTTCTATGAAATGTAATGAAAATACTTTTCAAAATAACGACGTTTCAACATGAGTGTCTACTCTCAAAACTCTCTAAAATGTTTTTTATATGAAAACCGACTCCAGACTTATGAAAGATACTTATGCATTTCCGTTTTACTTGTTTTTATTAAAACTCACTAAATCAGAAAATGATATACAAAATGAAGTATTTGTCTGTGTTAAAGCTTGTTGCTTTTCATAAGTGAAATAATTTATTTTATTTGAATAATTTAGTTTGAGCTTATTTGATTCGATACAAGATCTTTGGTCCATGCGTCATAAAAAATATTCGACAAACGTTTTTTTTAACACACAGAAATGCACCATTAAAAGTGACAAAATTATGTATATGGACAAAATTAAATACGAATTTATTTATTCCGTAAAATTAGTTGGTAAGTAAAATATGCAATGTCCGTAACCATTAAAAGAAAACAGTTATTTTATTTAATTTTCAGTTTGTGCAATAATCTTTATTAGTATAAACTCCAACTCAAACATAACAAACAAAAATGATTTCGATTGATTAAAAAATGACCTACAGATAACAAATTGACGTTTTTTATTGTATATTTTTTTACCCATTGATTTGAAAGATTTCTCATCCAAATTTTAGTCAAAACTTAGTCCGCTTGTCTCTTTCTTTTATTTGTTTTACTCTCTTTGTTTTATTTTTTGGTTGCTAGATTTGTTTGGCTGTAGGCTAAATTTATTAAAACGACGACAAACTGTTTGCATTGAAATCTGTAACAAGGGAACACATCAAACTATACTCGTATATGATAAAGATACTAATATACTAACTCTAAAGATAAATATACTAACGAGTATAAGTATAAAAAGATAAATCAGTTTACAATATTCACACCAGTTGGCGTAATCTAAATTCATTACGTTCTCGTCTCGTAAATTTATTACGTTCTCGTCTAGTGAACGTGAACCTTAACCATTTGAATGAACTGGTTGTGTGAAAATGGGCATAATGACCAAAAACAATGTTTTCTTATGTTCTTAACGACATATTCTCGAAAACAGTAAAAATGATAAGCCGGTTTTATGTGTGTTAGTGTTACTGCTGATATGGTATGAAGTACCGGGAAATATGAAAATTGCTTTTTCTATACCTACTAAAATGTTATCTGCACTATGAAAATATTCAGATTCTACAAGAGATGTGTGCTATAATGTAGGCATAATAAGGTTCCGAATAAAGCTGCCAGAACGTTTTAAATATTAGGCCCAAAAATAAACTTATCGAGACGTAGACGAAAAAATAATCGAGATGAAGAAAGAGATCAAAATTAAGTTCGATCCTTAAGTTAAAACTGCTTAGCATTTCTGGGATTTTACTACAACTTGGGATTTCTTACTCTATGTCTCATCACCAGCTTATTAATGTCCCTAATGCTGGGTCTAAGGCTTTCGCTATAAATGGAATCAGATCAAATCGAATATAGAGAATGGACCAAGCATGACCCACTACACGGGCCTAGTTCGTATTAATGAATTAATAATAATTTTATTTACATACATCACACACACACATGCCAGCAATTATAAAAGTTGAGTGAATACAAATACAGCCAAAATATGAAAGAAAATTTTTTAATTAAATGACTTACATAAGTCTGCATGTGTGCCGGAACGATGCAAAAAGACAAAAGCTCAGTAAGGGGGCGTCCATAAATTACGTGAGATGTTTAAGGGGGGGAGGGAGTCGAGTCAAATCTCATCTAATCTCACGTTGGAGATAGGGGGGGTCTCGGCAAATATCACGCAATTTTTAAAATAAGGCTCGGTGCGGGGAATCCCTCATAGAGTGACAAGTCTAAGGTTAAGATCATTCACTAATTCGTTGGAAAGAAAATAATTTCATTCGTACTTTGTCATTATACATCACTCCTGATTGTCAAACCACTATACTCGTTTTATACCAAATAGCTCAATTTAATTTGAATTTACGGTACAATGCAGCCCGTCCTTTGTTTTCGCGCCACTGTCAGCTGAACGTGTGACTCGATGAATGAGAGCGTACGAGCTGAGTGCAGCGACACACGGACAGGTTCCAACCTGCTTTGTTTATTCTTGCAAATGTTTTACTCGATTCTTCATATGATCTACATATGATTCTTCACGACCGTTTTCTGTCACCTCCATACCCTATCACTCAGGTTGATGGACACTTGACAATCCCGGACTTTAAAGAGCATGACGGAAAGTCATTTGCTCCATTTCTAATACCTTCATTAGCACGCCTTATGATCTCTATTGCCCAAGTGTACATGATGATTTAGAAAAAAGATACTGTAGTACATGCGGTATTTACTTTGCATCTATCACAAGAGCTGCAGAGCACTGGCGTGCAGCCCACATTGCACCAGCTAAGCAAGCGCGTATATTGCGCAAAGTACGACCCGCACGGATTGCCACAAAACAAGCTAATGAGTTACTGTGCGCAAGTGCCAACGGCTGGATCAGAACGAAGTTGAAGGAGCAGATGATTTTACTGAAAATCATATGGACATGCTGGTTCCAATAGTCTCTCTCGAGACCGTGCATGATTCTCCATGGACTGAATTAGAGTAGATATTCCTTTTTTAATCGCAGTAGTTACGAATTAAGTATTCTATTGTTTAATCTTTATTACACTTGTAGCTCTCAGCAATATTGATTACTAGTCTCTAACTAGTCGTAAATAAAAGTACGAAGCGAATTATTTTTTTTTCTTTTTATTAAAAAAATCCAACGTGTTTAAATAAGAAACCCACATTTTGAAAAATCTCACGTGAGATTTGGGGATGGGGGAGGGGATTGAATAAAATCTCACGACATCTCACCAGGGGGTGAGGGAGGGTCAGAAAATTTGAAAAAACACCTCACGTAATTTATGGACGCCCCCTAATATGTTTACTTGTAGAGCGTAATTGTGTGTATTAAGGACTGCGAATGCAGCCAGGCTTAACGTGCCTTCAAAAGTACGTAGGAGCTCGTAATAATACATTTTTGGTCACCCATCCTATGACTATCCTTTGCGAAAATTACTTTACAACCATATCGCAGACCGAGCGCACTAACCACTGCACCATTATTTGTATCTAACAAAAATATATCAGTATGCGCAGAGGGTGATGTTTTATTTAAGCGATGTTTTTTCACACGTATGGTGTTAGGCATTACAGTTTTTATAAGTCAGTTCTAACCATTCCACCATGCGGTCAAATCAAGCAGCTTTCCCCAGAAAGTGTCACGAATGGACGCTGTTGACATAAATTTGAAATAACAATGATATTCTCTAGAACAATACTATATTTACGTTAACTGAACAATGGTACATAAATGTAATTCGAATAAACCACACTAGGCTTAAAACACTAATAATATAACTTCTTGGTTTATTATGTTTCGACGAATGAAATGAAAATAGCCCAACATTATTTTAAATTTTGTTTATATGCATCAGGTCAAATTTCAAATATTTATTAAAAAGATCAAAACAGAGCTAATGAATTTCATTATTTTGAAACATCAAAGAATATCGAGTAAGACGTCGGAAGCAGACACAGACCGATGCTTAATATTCTCACCCCTCTGCCAGTTTCATATTTCTCTTATTAGCTAGAACGTAAAAACTCATAAAGTTATGACTATACTTTTTAAAACAAAAAATTTAAAAAAATCTATAATTTTCATTTATTTTCTTCTTTATTTTTTAAAATTTCTATCTAATAAATAACTATCCAACAGGGGAATAAAGGTCGCTTAATTTATATATTTAGGGTTCTGTACCCAAAGGGTAAAACGGTAACCCTTTTACTAAGACTTCCCTATCTGCCATCAGGCCGTGTAAGACAGTTGACAGTTGAACGGCGTCGCCGTCGTGTCCGGTGGAGTGGGAAGCCGAGCGCGCCTCCCGCGCGCCATAGGCTACCATATAAAAAACGTGATATTTGCTCGTTTTGAGTTCGGAACTTTTCGTACGCGAGTCCGACTCGCACTTAGCCGATTTATTCACGTAGGGAAGAGACTCAAAAACTTGCAAAATTAATTAGGAAAAATTGCGCTATACGCTGTGCAGCGAAATTTTTCACTATGGTACCAAAAAGTCAGGTACCTTTTCTGCGTGTGGGCAAAAATTTCGAAATGTGGTCTACCAAAATATGCCCTAGGAGATAATTTTATCTTATATCACTCTTAGCGTATGTTAGATAGCCGAGCAAATCAATAAGTAATAAGCAGTTTTGTTCTCGTTTTAATAACAAATGTGCTACACCGATAATTAGAAGATCGTTGGTGGTTACAGTTTCCGTAGCTCATCAATCACTAAATCTGTATGTTTGGGTCTATCGATTTTGTTCCATTTCTGGGCGCCATTTTAATTATCTAAGGCATGATAATGTAAGTTGTTGCTACAAACAAAGTATACCTACGTATTTGAAAATGTTAATAAATGTTAAAACATATTAAAATTATATTTGATAAATGTTAGAGGAATTCTTCATTCTTATTGTAACATTCGTCTTAGCTGGACGTGTAATAAAATAGTGAGCTGGGACAATCTTTCAGTAGGTACTTACATGTGATATAATAAATGATATAAACTCGCAGAGAAATATGACGTCATAAAGGCAGTGATTTGATAAATCCCTTTACTTGATAATGTGACAATAATGAAATTATTATTAAAAACGTCCACCCTCGATATCTGTCTTTGGCTACGTGTACGTACACGGTAAGAAATAAACTAATTAGTTGTATAGTTATTTTTACGCAATTATCACCTAGATAGACAGTTATTTAATTCATGAGAATTCTCCATCATGGTTTGGTATGAATTAAAAGTACGAAATAGAAAAACCCGTGCAAACTGAGTACTTACTACGTATGAATTGCACCGATCGGATTGCTAATTATTTTATAAAAAACCTCGCTTGCTTTCGAGTACAGCACTCAATGTCTCGCTATGAACTAAAAAACGAATGATAAAATGAAATGAAAATATTCTCCATTCAAATAAACTTATGGAAGGCACTTTCGAATCGTCAAGTATATTCCACCTACCGTTAATTCAGGAAGTCTTTTGACTAACAAAAAAACGAGTGCAAAAGACTAATTAGCTTATAAAAGTACCTAATCACGATTACATAAACCATGCCATGGCCGAATGAATATCTATTGCAATTATGAGAACAATAAAAATAAGCGATAGCTCATTCTTATTCGAACTTTGTTTAGCAAACTATCCTCCTCACTGTAGCAAGAAAACAAGTCGATTATGATATTATTGTCGTTTACACTATGATTTCTATGCTATGAAATTACACAAGCCACGTTGAATATGAGCCACATCCGCTACACAAGCATACTCAGGCCATGGGTCAATAAATAAACGCAGTATGCAAACGCACTTCCTGACCAATAACCCCTCTCTATACATATATGTTAGAAATCGTGGCATTATACAAAAGGTAATTTTTGATACTTCAATCTGGGATGCTCACTCCTCTTTCCGACAATCGTACAGGTTTGCTATTCTATAAAAAAATATTTATTAAACACAATGTCGAGCACAACGCTGTCACATCTTAAAATTTCAATCATACTATAACACCTACTTCAAAAGATAATAAAGGTTTTATTTAATTGGACCTCCTTTCCCTCATCCTAGTTTTTGATCACTCTTTGTGCTTGCTCAACCAAATATAACTATTGCAACCTATATTTTTTCAATTTTTTTATCGTCTTATTTCGTTTTTCTATACTAATATCATAAAAAGGAATAATTTGATTGTTTTTTGTTTGTTTACATCAAATAGGCTCCGAAACTACTAAACCGATTTTTTAAATTCTTTGTTATAAACTATAATTTACGCTTCGCACGCGTACGGAAGTACGTCACGGAAACACGCTAGTTGGTTAATAAAATAAAGGAAAGGTTGATAAAAATAAAGCAATAATATAAATAATTAAGTATTTAATTATTCTAGCTACATGTTTTCTAACATATAAGGTTTGTCACGATCAAATATCAGATGAGGATAAATTTTCCCATATCATATCTTAGATCATGCATCTATACTAAGTATTGACATAAAAGCTAGTCTAGCTAGTCAATTATGATACAGTACTCACATACACAGCACACGCCGAGCCCATGAGCGCAGTCACCGGCCGCTCGGCCATCCCTCTGATGACAATCGTACTGGTTGAGGCAGATGCCTGCCCTCGCGGCTGTGTAGCTGCTGGGTTGACATTCTCGTTCCCCACCCACCGGGAAGAAATTGAGAACTTTTCCCAATGCAAATAAACCTGAAACAAAACACCAGCCGTCAATAAGCTTAAACATAACACTGAAAAAGTGAGGCTCACGACTTGTGCTATCTAAAATGTGGTCGCTCTCGTTGTAAAAATAACGTTTTACTAGTTTCTGTCCACGACTTTATCTTGTGAACTCCGAAATTGTAATCCTTACGGTACATTTTTGCGTGAAACAGTGTGTACGAACTAACTGTATATTTATACAATGTTCATCAAGTTCTAGGAGAATATTTTGTACTAGTGTTTTTACTACAACATATTATGCAAATGAAATATGGATAGTGAATGATTTCAGTGTGCCGACACCGACACAGCGAGGACATCGATCAAACCTCACCCCTCATCCTTTGTTTTGTGATCTATTGATAATATAATACTGCAGCTTACAGACATTCGTTTTTATTCATACCTGTTTCCATAAGGGAATTTGGAGTAAAGTTACAAAACGTATATTTTTTATTAGCAAATGCAAAACTCTATATTCTGCATGACTTGCTATTGCTTTTACAATAAAAATTGAGGCAGCGTTTTCATTGGCCGTTTTCTTTAGCCCACAATATACCAACATAAATTTTACCAAAAAAAAAATCCTTAACAATGTACAATATTACGCGAGGAATATTCATTCCCAACCTATATTTTTTACTACACTAAACTTTGCCCGCAATTCCCGCGTGCCTGTCACAATCGTTACGCTTAAGGAAACTCTTAGTGGGATAAAAAGTAAATATATAGATGTTATATCGTGTAATCGAGCTTTTACTTGTTTTCTTTTCGCAAAAGATTTAGGTTCACGCAATTCTGAAGCACCTAAACTGAAACAGCGGAGAGTAACACTCTGTTGATACGAAATGGCTTTATTCGTAATCAACATCGTTGAAAAAAAAGTAGGAAACTCACATCTCTGCTCCAGCTTCCCACTGCAACTACCGCCTACGGAATTTCCTTTATAATACAATCCGTCTACACACCAATCGGTAGCGAGCGGAGTGAAGCGAATTCTATTAGTTAATTAAAACGCTGCTGTATTTCAATAGAGTGGTTTTAAAACGGTGTGATAAAATTGATAATTTTAAACGTAAAAGGGTCAGTCTATTATCAATTGAGCCTATTAGCATTGATAATTGCGTGACGAACGTCATTATAAACACAAAATATTATTTAGACGACCTCCCTGGCACTAGGGCCGGGTATGACAAATGTTACTAAAATTAAAAATGGTGAATATTTGTACGTTTGGATGTTTGAATGTCTGTTACTTCTTCACGCAAAAACTACTGAACGGATTTTGATAAAATTTGGTATATAGGCAATTCTACATATAGGCTATTTTATATCTCACTTAAAGGTTCCCTAGGGATAGAATTACTTCCAAAGGCGCCAATTTTTGCCTTGAATGCCTTGAATGCTGCCGAAACAGTAAGAGATCTACGAATGCTTTTTAAAGAAAAGTGGAAGACCCTTAAATTGATTATAAAAAAGTCCGCGATGGTATATCTATGTGCTAAGATTTTTTCACAAATTAAAAGTAATTCGTAAAAGTGTATTTAAATTTTTTGTTTGTTGTGATATTGAATCCTTATTTAGATAAATATCCTTATCGTCAAAGAAATTTAATGCAAATAAAAATTGATTTTTTCACCAAATCAATTGGATAAGTAGATTGGATTTTACTGCGATGTTTTTGAGAAAAAAAATCAAGCTGAAAAGATTGGTTTACTATGAGTTGTGATATGTTTGTAACTCTACCTGTGTATGTGGTTTTCTTCTTTAATCATCCTTACTAATAATATAAATGCAAAAGTAACTCGGTCTGAAACCATTAATAAAATTTTTGTATGAAAACTATGAGATACTCGACAAGATATAGAATAGATTTCATACGAATCCTATAAAAGGAATGAAATTACTGGTAGAAGTTTGTATGGAGATATTTATTTATTTTTAGGCACTACTTCTTCTTTTCTTTAAAACCAATAATTCGTTTTTATATCAATTTGAAAAGAATGTAAATTTAAAGAAAGAACAACTTCAAAAGAATCGAATAATAATTCTTATTGTTATAAATTCTAATAACTAATTTTTATATTTGATGGCTAAGTTTTTACAAGTCCAAGTTTTACATAAAACGAAGTTTAAGAAAATAAACATTTTTATTATAGAGTTCCATTGTGACAACCACCAAATCAAGTTAATTTAAGCGATGTAGTTGTCACTTTTTTTTGTATTAAAACAAAACTGATGATCTAATTTCGGCGAAGTTTTAATGGAATTGTTTCAAGAATGTACTCTATGCAAAAAAGTTCAATATAAATACGAGAAAACATTCACGTTGAAAACCTATTCTTATCTTTTGAAGCTGGATAAAATAAACCACTCTAAGTAGATACTAAATACCACGCAAATGAAGTTGCGGGCAAAGTTTAGTTATAAATAAGTACTCCGCTCATCGCTACACTAATGTTCAATATAAAAATCACTTTACTAGTATTAAAATGAAGTAACAAGAAAATTTGTAAATTGTACCTGGAAAAAAAAAATTTTTGGTGACTTGTTAATAAATAATTAGCCAAAAATTCATGAGGCAAGGAGAATAATCTAGGAGATAAATAATTCACGCATTAGTCTGAGACACTGAATCGACCAGTTGTTCACAGTAGACAACAAGGCTAAGATCGATTTGTTTACGATTCGTTAAGAAAATTAGAGGAACATCAAGATGTCAGCTAGGTATTGGGTGACATGGAGACTCAAGTGCACAAAAATTTAAGTGAATATGTAAATAAAAATATCAACGAACCATAACATAGCATAGCATTGTGAATGTGATATTGATGAAATATAATAATTATTATATTTTAAAATTTTACATTCGGAATGTAATAGTGATAGTTATTTTTTTTTCTTAAAACTACAAATTAATGGTGAACTTACAACCAGATACTCAATCGATCTTTAAGCTATAATAAATGTTCTAAATTAGAAAATTAATATCAGTAACAGTGGCGTAACTATACCGTTTGAGGCCCGTGGCAAATTCATCGGATATTTTTTTTTGTTTTTACTAATTGCGTAATAATAAATGTCAGGAGTAAGGAGTCTCCTCTGACCGGGGGCCCCTTCCAGCTGGGGGTTCGTGGCATTTTGTCGACTTGCCACCCTGTAGTTACACCACTGATCAGTAACGTCGCTTTAAACTAATGACAATTGACGATATATAGTGAACATTTGTGCAACTGGGTATTAATACCATAGATCCCCCATAGAGCCAATATAAAAATACTTAAAAAATCAAGTCTAAGTTGTTCGAAATGGGATTTGAACCCCTAGCCTTTGGCAATCAGGGCGACTACTCTTATTTTAAAGTATATGTAAAACAATTGTATACTTGGCATTCTACTCGAAACGAGAAAAAAATAAACGACGCCCCGAGCGAAGAGTTCAAAAGCTATGCCAAAATATCGTCTGAGATATTTTCTCCCGGGACGTACCATCTATCTTTATAATTCAGTGGAGCCACGGGATTCTAGCTGTGAATAGCTTCATAATAAGCTTGCCTTGCTAAACGTAAACTCAAAAGGATTATGTTTAAAAATATCATATAAATCAAAATGTTTAAAAATTAATAAATACATAGCAGACACTTATCTGATTCTAAAATTAATACACTACTAGCTGACCCGGAGAACTTCGTACCGTCATATTAAATTTCTCCATTCTATTTGAAATGTCACCATACTGACAATCTAACCGGCGTCGATTTTTTGTTTTTTTTTTTTGTTATGGCCTTGTTCCGTTATGCACAGAAATTCTGCATTATCCCGTAGTGAGAGAGACACGAGACTCTAGAGACTGAGCGAAAGTTAGAATAAACCGGTTCTTCCTTGAAATTCTTCTTTCTCTGCTCTAAAAAGGACAACACATACCATCAATCACTTTTTTTTTCATTTTACATGTAGAAATTAATTTATTCACTTGGCATTGGCAGAATTGTGCGAAACACGCAGCTAAGCCATTAATATAATTTATTCTGATAAAATCTATATATTACTTTTATAAATTTTCTTATATACAAACCTTGTCCTGACAATTACAAACACATAAAAAAATAATCATCAAATTCGAAACGTATGCACATACATTTCGACAATTCATTTTTATTAAAGTCTACTTGAACTAAACTTTTAAACTACCCGAAGCATCGTTTTAAGATAACAATCAGTAAAAAGTAGTCGCATATAATGAAAAAAGTGGTACGGCATTGAAATATATAGGTAAATGCACGTTAAGATTTTATATAAACTTTATTGTACCAGAGATGCAATATTAACTAAGTATTAAATACAATTTCACCTTCATACCCCTCAGACCAATATCCCCGTACGTGAATACTTCAGAACATATAACATATTTCCCCGTCTCATATAACGACATTACGCTCACACGGTTCGGCTTTCAAGAACTTTTACGCTTTATTGATATTATGTTGCAGCTGCTAGGTTAGCCATTTCTCATATCATTCTGCACCACGTTGGACGCCAAGAATACAAAATTCAATGTTATATTTCAATTTACAAAAGATATTATCATCGTGGTAATCATTCGTAAATGCATGCATTGTCTTTCAAAGATAAGTTCATTCATGACACAAATGGTTTCGGAGATAATACTTGTTATGCCACTGTTTTAAAATAAAAATCGTTCAAATTGCTTGCTTCAACGAGCCATGACAATGCCAAAGGCCACATTGAACATCTGCATAGATTGTTTTCAATGTATCAAAACGCTTTTGGATAAAAGTTTATGAACAGTATCGAAAATATTTGTCGTTGAAGACATTGCAATTATTTTATTTTATTTCAAAGTGGTTATTCAACTTGTTACATTATAACAAAAGCTTTGAATACTCCAATTCATTACATTTGATCCCATTCATCATTTGTTTGTCATTGAGAACACTCTGGAAACAAAATTCAGTTCTTCTTGGAAACTCCATACTTTATACAATTAGCTTTTTAAACAATCAAGGCAATTATTAGAATTTTGTGATTATTTTAAAATAATTACACATGAAACTTTAGCATTGGCTTCCCACACAAAAATAGATAGGGCGACCGCAATTATTCGAGTTGAACAATAAAAATAATTATATTTAAATGCA